GTCCGCCTGTGTGTGTATGTGTGTGTGTGTGTGTGTGTGTGGCTGTGTGTGTGTGTGTGTGTGTGTGTGTGTGTGTGTGTGAGTGCAGTGAGTCAGCACAAGGTCACAGTGTAGCAGATGTAACTGGAGTGAGATTGGAGTATCTGTCTCAGACAGCAGCAGTACTGGGATGCAGAATGTGAAATGCTACAGCAAGATGTGTGCAGTAAAGAGCTCATATTGTCAGCCAGAGGTCAAAGAGACAAGAGTCAGTGCAACAGCACACTCTGCAAACATGGAATTAATCAACCTGCAATTAATGAAACACCAATGGAAACAAAGGAAATGGCTGTCAATACATTGATAAGAATGTAAAATAGCTTGAGTGTGTATGTGTGTGTGTGTGTGTGTGTGTGTGTGTTTTCACCTCCGGCTGAGTTGAGGTGGATGAGCAGAAGATCATCTCCTGACCCAAGTTTATCGGTAACAGCGGCGATGACCTCTCTGACAGATGCAGCGACAGGCACTCGGATAGTGGAGTAGGTATGATCACTGCAGTACACCTTAAAGAGGACTTCAACAAAACACACACATATTTGAAAAGAACATTGACATTGAAACATTGATAAATATATATATATATTTTTTTAAATAATAAAACAATAATAACTTGATCACTTCACCACAGAATAACTTCATTCTATCTTTTCATCTATCTATCTATCTATCTATCTATCTATCTATCTATCTATATCTATCTATCTATCACATCTGTGAAATTAACCAAAGGAGAGAATAGTGTTCTGTCAGTCACAACAGAGAGCAGATACAGACTCACTCTCATCTGTGCTTCTGATCGGCTGTTTCTTCTGCAGTCTGTCGTTCCCTGTGCTGAACTGACGCAGCAGGACTTTGTGCTGAAATGAGAGAGAAGGACTATCACATGACACTTATTCAACACTGAAGAGAATACGACAGAAACTCTGTTTGTTTTTATGGTCCCCTCACCTTTTTCTGAGAGGGCCGGCCATCCTCACAGCTGTGAATAAATGTTATGAGTGTTATGATTACGAGCAAGTAAAAGGTTTCTCTGAACTTTCTCAGCCTGATATATTAAACCTATAAAGCCTGCTGTGTTATGTTTGATACACACATTACTAAGGCCTCTACATTATCAACATGATCAAAAAATTAAAATTGATAATCCATTCAACTTTTTTTTGTTTTGTTTTTTAGAAAAATCATGCTAAAATGTATCACATATGATTTATTGTTCATCTGTCAGACATCATTGCATTGCATGACATTATGTTTTGCTCCCACAATAAAAAAAACTACAAAGCTTTGATGATAAAACTAAGCATTTAAATAGCAACTTACTAATACATTAGATATAGAGTGACATCTGATATTTATATGCATTTATGTAAGTAATTTGTCATACTGTTATAAGGCTCTCAATGATTTACAATACAAGCTATCTGAATATCATCTTACGTTTTGGTCGTATAAATATCAGCATCTTTACCAAATTGCATAATTTTTTCTCAGGGCCTCTTTGTTCCACCTTGAGTATAAGCTTCATATTATCACTATATCATAGTGAGCAACAAAAGCTGGATGTATCAAATATAATACCCAACAAAAACACATATGCAGATTTTAAGGTTCTTTTAAGGCTAATGTTCTGTTTCAAAAAAATAAGACGCTTCTGACTATGACTTCATATGTCTAAACAGGGTTGAAAATCTGATCTGTAAGACTGTGCTCTTACTTCTGTTTGATGATCTTCTCTAGTTCAGGCAGCTGGTCTTTTAGAGCTGGAATGAGTCTGGAATCTTCACACACTGTCTCATTAAACTCCTGCAACAAACAACACGCTCAGACTGACACACACTAAATCACAGCGGGACCAGAAAGGCTCTAGAAATGACATAAACAGCTTAACTTGAATCAAGCAGCACTGCTGAACAGATCAGAGCAGTCCTGAGTCAGGTGAAGCTGCTGACCTGGAGGAAGTTGAAAGAGCTGTCCTCCTCCTGCAGGTGGTCTGTGTTGATGGCGGCCCACTGTAAGACCAGGCGAATCACCCTGCGCTTGTTATTGAGAGCGTAGTCCATCCGCTCCTGTTCACTGCCCTGAGACGGCTGAGCATGATAGGTGAATGAGAGCTAAGGACTTCAAAGCCACACGCAAGTACAATCTGAGAGTTCAGTAACCCTCTCATCTGTTGAATAAAACAATGTTCATAAAGGACACAGCTATGGCATATTGACCATCTTAACCAAGTTGATGAACTACAGAGACTTCAGTTACGTATTTCACCAATCAGTCAGTAGAGCTGTAAAGGATATTGGGCCATGAGCAGTGGACACAGCTGACTGTTTGGGACAAAAACACAGTGCATAAGCAAAAAGTCATCCAGAGCAGGATCTACAGAGACAGAGAAAAGAAAAGTTATGTATGTTTCATTTATGCACTGTATAATGTATATTTATAGAGTTGCCACTCTTGATTTTTCCAGGACATTTCCAGTTGTGATTCCTGGATAAAGACTTTTGATTGTCGATTTATTAATGAATCATTGACACCATTTTTCCACCAGTTTGATGGATTCATTAAAAATGAATCAAAACAATTTGCTCCTTGCTTGCAAGCCATCACTATGGCTTGCAAGCAAGTTTTACAAATGCTGTACACAAGGGCAATATCTATACTATCGTTCAAAATTATGGGGTTGGTAAAATGTTTAATGTTTAGTAATTTTGTGATATAATTGTGAAATATTATTAAAATTCAAAATAACAATTTTATATTGTAATATATGTTAAAATGTCATTTATTCCTGTGATCAAAGCTGAATTTTCAGCATCATTCCTCCAGTCTTCAGTGTCCCATGATCCTTCAGAAATCATAATAATATGCTGATTTTCTGCTCAAGAAACATTTCTGATTATTATCAATGTTGAAAAGTTTGTATTTTGTGTTTTGATGAATACAAAGTTCAAAAGAACAGCATTTATTTGCTGTTAAAAAGCAAATATTTGCTGTTATATTTTTATATTAAAATATAATTTTTTTGAAACATTATAAATGTTTTCACTGTCACATTCAGCAATTTAAAGGGGTCATATGATGCAATTTTAAAGATCATTATTTTGTGTATTTGGTGTAACAGAATATGTTGACATGCTTTAATGCTCAAAAAAACACATTATTTTTCAAATACTGTACATTATTGTAGGTCCTCTATGCCCCGCCTCTCTCAAACACGTCGTTTTCAACAAAGCCCCCTCCTTTGACAAGCGCAGTCTGCTCTGATTGGCCAGCTGACCCAGTGCATTGTGATTGGCCGAACGCTTTCGCACTGAAACACAGCGTCTCCCTGACATGCTGCATCAACATTACCGCTGTTCCTGAAACCACGCCTTCATTCTTTGTGTGCACATTTGGGCGGCGTTATGCAAATCTTCCCACATAGTGAGGTAGACATGTGGGGGCGTGTTAGAACGAGGCGTTTTAGGTAGGCGTGGTTGACTCTTAACTTTTATAAAGAATATCTCTTTGGATTTGAGACTTTAGTCTTTGCAACTTTACAGATCTTCTTTATGCACCAAGAGCTTGTAACACTCCAAAGAGAAAGGAAAAAATTAAATCGCATCATATGACCCCTTTAATGCATCCACTTCCTGCTTCATTATTTAACTGCATATTATTTCTCTCACTGAACGCACTGCAAAGCACCTGACTCTGTGAACTGGGAGTCGAGCTTCATTGTCTCCAGAAGATGTTCCAGAATCTTCTCTGGAGTTCCTGACATCACCGTGTACCTGAAGAACAGATGCACAAAGCTCACGCATTGACACGTAGTTTGAGGTTATACTGTTTGCAGTTATTTCATAGTAGTCTTCAATTCTTAATGTTAAAATTGACAGAGGAATAGAAATGTACTTGAGAGGAGAGGAACTGGAGCTCCTGTTGTTAGTTTTCTCCAAAACTAACACATCCTCCTCATGTTCCTTCAGACGGACCGTGTTTGCCTCCACATCCTGGATACACACACAGATGAAACAGAATTAGATTTAATCATAAAAAATTAAATGTAATGCACTAACATCTGAAATGACTGGTTAGGTCACTCAACAGACAGCACTGATGTGCTTAGCTAATGGTGGATTAGTGCTGTTGTGATAGTGTTCAGGACATGAGCTATTGGATGTCAGCAGTTTAGCAGCAATACGCACTAAACTCACTTTTACAGCACTGAACCGAGAGCTCAGGTCAAGCAGCTGAATTATGAATGATCGAATGGAGGTGTTTGTCACTTAAAGTGTTCCACAATGTCACTTAGGTAATGTACTGTTGTAAAGCATCATCATTACCAGTAGAGGGAGACTAATACTCAAGTTACAGCTGGGATTCTCAACCTATTTTGTCTGAAGGCCTGTGATAAATTACTACCATTACGTTATGTTAGAAATTACTTTTAAAAAGTACACTTGAGATTTTAAGTAATGTTCTAACCTTTCAATTAATATGTTGCATAGGGAAGACAGAGGAATGCTGCCGTTGCATTAACATATGCAGCTGTATTTGATCAACTGTTTGTTTTTTCTTGAGTAATAATGTTCAGTCGTTTGTATTCAAGAATTTAAGGTTTATACAGAAACTGAGTGTAAAAAGTAAATCTACTCCGTGAAATAAGGAAGAAGTGTAACAACATCCTAAGTGATACAGTGAATACTGATTGCTTTTGTCCAGTTGCATGATCATGTGTAACAATAGGCCCTTTCGCACCACTTTAGTTCCAGAACTAAACGTACGGTACTAAAGTCCTGGGACGATTTTGCGCGAACTATTTCCCAGTACCATTTAAAGGGTTGCATTCACACCGACAGTGTGTACTAGGAACCGGTCGACAGCGACGTCATTTGTGCGCGGCGTTCAACAACAGAAACAAAGAAGAACAACATTAACAACAGGAGGATGGAGGACGCTGTGATCGGAGCTGTGTTTTTGTTGTGTCTCGCGGGTTTCACAGTGGACATGGAAAGTCGACGTATACGTAAAGCGATTGAAAGAACGGAAAGGAGGACTAAGAATCTCCAACGACAACTGGCAGTGCTACATTTGCTACAAGTGCCTGCACTTCAGCGTCCGTCCATCTATCACTGTTCTCCATACTTGCGAAATAAGTTGACATGCTTAAAGTATGTTTACACAGCGTTTTAAATCATGGCGGGGGGGGGGGGGGTTTTCATACGTGTTTGGCCAATCAATGTCTACTTACGTCACGATTAGTACCAGTTGTGCTGGTTAGACCCTGCTCTGGAGTAGGAGCTAATTTGGTTCTCGAAAAAGGCAGTCCGGTACTAAAATCGCTCCCAGTTCCGGCGGTGCGAACACGCCGAAAAGTGGGTAGTTCCACAATTAGTTCTGGTACTATGAAAAGGTTCCAAAAAGGTGCAAAAGGCCCTAATGCAACAAATGAACCTAGAATGTGAAATCTCACTAAATCTCCCTATATTTGTTTAGATAGTAGGCATCCTGTTTGTGTCTGTACCAAAGACACACTAACAGCCACACACACACACACACCCTCACTATCAGCACTATCAGAATGAGCTTCCGCTTAGACGCTGCTCCGGCTTTCCTGAGCTCAGCTCTCTATTGTCAGAGCGCTGGGAGAGAGATTCTCCTGTGCTGCTGATGGATGCACCATTATAAAATACAAACAGACACACACACACACAAACATACACACAAATGCAGCCAGAGAAAACAATTAGACGATAATTAAATAATCATTAGGCCAACAGTACACAAGCAAAAATGTAATTAAGTGACAAAATGTTAATCATGACTCTCTTATATTTAAGCTTCTTCTTTAGATTCTAGATTCTGGACAGTTGCATCCTGGGATGTTTTTCAGTATTGCTTGACAGTACTGAAGGAGTTCATATGTATACGGCTTATAAGCTTCACACTATTTTTAATTAAAATATTTGGTTTGTAATGAAATTCATGTGATGGTATCTGAGTTCCCCTTCAGGAACTCAAGCTGCGTCGAAATGCTTTGGGAACGTGTCTGCGTGACTACGCTCTGAAACACATGTGTAATCAGTCCAACCGAATCACTTGATGTCACCGGGCGGGGATGACGTAGCGACCAGGAAGTATAAAAGCACATGCGGTGGAGACAGCGGCAGTTTTGTTGTTCAGTAAGAGCTCTATGTGTTCGTCTTATTTATTGTTGTCTGTCTTGAAAAAGTATCTAAAAATTGGCAAGCAAAGACAAGAAAACTGAAAAATAATCATTCAGACTGTGTGTTCATCCCTGCTTGCGCTTCATTATGGGTGGGGATACACACAGTTTGTGTGTTGCTTGTCTGGGAGCGGGGCACGCTCGGTCAGCTCTCGAGGGAGCTGACTGTCCGCATTGTGTTCGCCTCACGATGCGGACGCTCCGCTCCCAGAGAGCACTCTTTGAGGAGGGTCTTCACGCTAAGGAATTCTTCAGCTTTGGTGGGTAAAGCATACACGGTTTTTTATTTTTATTATTATTTTATTCATCGTGTTGAAGGCATATCAGGCTGACCTGCTAAAAGAAATGGATGAGGGAGAAGAGATTAAGAACGACGATATTGCAGAGCTACGTCGGGCCACAGATTTGTCGCTTAGATTTGTTGCTGATTGCCACCAAAAGACACCTGTGACTGACCCAGTCCAATATCAAAGAAAAAAGGATCAGCCCCAGCTGTGTACAAGCTCTTCTCACAGAGAAGTCCAGAAACGGAGCGTCACCACTCGTATTCCCCCACAAAAAGAACAGGAGTCGAGGCGGCGCTCCAGGTCAAAGTCTTCCAGAGAAATTATGGATCATTTTCAACAGGAAGGATTCGACCAAGAAGTCCTGACATAAGGACATCAGGAATTTTGAGGGCAGGCCCTTCTGGGGAAGAGCGGTTCACACCTCAGCATACGGTGCCCATCTCTCCTCAGTGCCCTCAGGAGATCGTCTCATTAACCCTGCCACCCCTGGTGCTTCAGGGCACAGTGGTCTCCAGCGAGCGCAGCTCTCAGCTTCCACCTGGAAATATAGCGATTCTGGGAGGCTCGCTTCCTCAAAGGAGGTCTCTAGAGCAACTAGATCGGTCGTTCCCTGGTCTCAAGAGACTCGTTCCCTCAGTAGATCATCTGTCAGTGTAGAAGCTTCTGCCAAATGTGTCACAATGGGTCCTACGCATTGTACAAAGAGGTTATAAGATTCAATTCGGGTCTCGCCTGCCTCTATTCAAGGGGGTGTTTCCCACTCTGGTGGGCCCTGAGCAGGCTCTAGTCATGAAAAAAATAGTCGACACTCTCTTGAGGAAGGAGGCCATTGAGGTGATCCCTCCTCACGACAGAGAGTCCAGGTTTTACAGTCGGTACTTCATTGTTCCAAAGAAGGATGGGGGGTTGCGTCCAATTCTAGATCTGCATCTGTTGAACCACTCAGTAATGCAGTTAGGTCCACTCTCAGAAAATCAGCCAGGTCAGAGGACTGGTTTGTCACGAAATATCTTAAAGACGCATACTTCCATACATCCATCATTCTCAACACAGGAAGTTCCTGAGGTTTGCTTTCGGGGGCAAAGCTTCCCAATATCGGGTTCTTCTGTTCGGCCTTGCGCTTTCACCCCGCACGTTTACCAAGTGTGTGGATGCTGCTCTGGCTCCACTGCGACTCCAGGGCATCCGCATACTGAATTACATCGATGATTGGCTGATACTAGTTCAATCAGAGCAGATAGCGGTTCGGCATTGATATGTCGTTCTTGCTCAGAAAATAGTCGACACTCTCTTGAGGAAGGAGGCCATTGAGGTGATCCCTCCTCACGACAGAGAGTCCAGGTTTTACAGTCGGTACTTCATTGTTCCAAAGAAGGATGGGGGGTTGCGTCCAATTCTAGATCTGCATCTGTTGAACCGCTCAGTAATGCAGTTAGGTCCACTCTCAGAAAATCAGCCAGGTCAGAGGACTGGTTTGTCACGAAATATCTTAAAGACGCATACTTCCATACATCCATCATTCTCAACACAGGAAGTTCCTGAGGTTTGCTTTCGGGGGCAAAGCTTCCCAATATCGGGTTCTTCTGTTCGGCCTTGCGCTTTCACCCCGCACGTTTACCAAGTGTGTGGATGCTGCTCTGGCTCCACTGCGACTCCAGGGCATCCGCATACTGAATTACATCGATGATTGGCTGATACTAGTTCAATCAGAGCAGATAGCGGTTCGGCATTGATATGTCGTTCTTGCTCACATGAAACGGTTGGGGTTAAGACTAAACGCAAAGAAAAATGTGCTTTTTCCAGTACAGAGGACCACTTATCTAGGTGTGGTGTGGGATTCGACCATGATGCAGGCACGTCTGTCTCCTGCTTGGATCGATTCGATCCTCACAGCAGTCAAGAGAGTGAGAGAAGGCCAGTCACTCACTGTCATACAGTTTCAGAGACTGTTGGGTCTGATGGCAGCTGTGTCCAACGTGACAACTTTTGGCCTGCTGTACATGAGACCCTTGCAGTGGTGGCTCAGGATTGCCCCGAGGGGCAACCCGTTTTGTATGATCAAGGTCACATGGTTAGGCTTACGGGCCTTTGACATGTGGAAGAAACCTTGGTTCCTGTCACAAGGCCCCGTGTTGGGAGCTCCTTGTCTTCGTGTAACGCTAACGACGGACACATCGGTGGTCTCTTACATCAACCGGCAGGGGGGTCTGCGTTCGCACCTCCTATACAGGCTGGCATGCCAGATCCTTCTGTGGGTCCAGGAGAAACTGCTCTCCCTGAGGGCAGTGTACATCCCTGGGCACCTCAATCAGGGAGCAGACATCCTGTCGAGGCAGAGGCTGAGGCCCGGGGAATGAAAGCTCCACACTGAGGTGGTGGAGCAGATTTGGAAGAAGTTCGGGCAAGCCCAGGTGGACTTGTTTGCATCTCGAGAGACCTTACAATGTCCCATATGGTTCTCCCTCACACATCCAGCCCTGCCCCTGGCATGGCCAGAGCCTTTCTGTATCCCAGACCGGGGTATGTCCCCAAGGTGCCCTCAGTTGTTCCACAGCCAGTTGTTCTGCAGGCATTCTTTCCTCCTCCCTTTCGGGACCCTGACCAGGAAAAGCTTAATTGTGTCCACAGAGCTGCCCTGTGGAGAAAGTCGGACCAGTTATTAATTTGTTACAGTCCATACAAGAAAGGTCTTCTAGGCTAACAAGCAGACCCTAAGCAGGTGGATAGTGGATGCTATCACTACTTCTTACGAGTCCTCTGATCTCCCCTCTCCATTGGGGGTCAGGGCTCATTCCACTAGAGGTATGGCGGCCTCCAAGGCCTTCTCGTCCAGTGTTTCTATGCACGACATTTGTGACGCTGTGGGATGGTTCACCCCTCTGACCTTCGTCAGGTCTATAGCCTTGACCTTCATGCCACTCCTGGCTCCTCAGTCCTCTCGACCTAGCTGTGCTGATCCACACTAGGCAGGGATTGGTCATTCTGGGGACGTGGGTATACTCATTCCCAAATCATTTCGACGCAGCTTGAGTTCCTGAAGGGGAATGTCACTAGATTACGTATGTAACCCTAGTTCCCCTGAGGGAACGAGATGCTGTGTCTCGTAGCCATACTTCCTGCATCCCTGCGGGCACTTCCTTCTCAATCCAGAAGCTGCCGCTGTCTCCACCGCATGTGCTTTTATACTTCCTGGTCTCTACGTTGGACTGATTGCACATGTGTTTCAGAGCGTGGTCACGCAGACGCGTTCCCAAAGCGTTTCGACGCAGCGTTTCATTCCCTCGGGGAACTAGGGTTACATACGTAACCTAGTGACGTTATTATTGTTTGCTAAAACTAAAACTTAAAACATAAAGTCAATGCACAACAAAATGACTAAAACTATCAAATTAAAGTTAAAACAAAAAATATAAAATAAAAGCTCTCAAAATATTAACAAAAACCATAGAAGTATAAATTATACTAAAATACCAATGGTAGATTCAAGTTGTTATTGTTAACTAAAACTAATACATTTAAAATCACTTTTGGTAAATAAATAAAATAAAATTACAAATGCTGTTTTGGCAACTACATGGAATAAAATAGGTTGAAGTACTGAAAATAACTTAAATTAAAACTAAAACTGAAATAAAATAAAATAAATTAAAGCTAAATAAAACTATTTAAACAAATAAAAATCACATTTTAAAATTACTAAAACTTAAACTAATATTAAAATAAAGACTGAAAATCTAAAAATAAAAGCTAAATATCAATATATACTATAATAGTTATAAATCATACTACTAACACTGGTACAATTTAGATTTGTCTATGAATTAATTTTAAACATTTCAGCATAACTGGTAGTGTATGCATCTGTGTACCATGGCATTACATTATGCATCTGTTATATATCTTAAATAAAACTACTTAATTTAGATCTAACAACATCCAAATTAAGCACATTTTATTTTATTTTATTTTATTTTACAGTCCACAATATTATTTAGAATTACTGAATGAACTTAAAAATTGCACCAACAAAACAAAATTTATAGGGCAACAATTGCAGCGTAGCACTTTTTGCAGTTTAGGGTATCTGACAAAGCACTTTTCTAAGTGTAGGGCATTTGTTTTGTTGTGAATAATGACCCCTGACCCTGAGGATTCTGTTGAAGTCTTCTTTATCCACTCTCAGTAAGTGGCAGTTGTCCTCTCTCAGTACGATAGATGCTGCCCGAGGTGCGTCATTGACCAGAGCCAGCTTCCCGAAGTCATCTCCCTCATGCAACGTGCAAACTACACCCTGAAACGAGACATGACATCTAAACAGCCTGCTGTCATCTGCCAGACAAACCAGCAAAGAGCACAGACAGTTATGAAAACACATTCCAGCTGTAATACAATTTGTACACACACACACACTTTCCTGGCACAGTCTGCATGTACTAGAATTGGCTTGTGAGTGATTAGCTGGTCTGCATGATCACACATGAAACGCTTAATTAGTCTGTTGAATGTGGAGCATTAGTAGGGAATTACTAGTCTGACCTTTCCATAGATCACCACGTTAACGGAGCCCTTCAGGATGATGTACCATTGAAGTCTTCTTTATCCACTCTCAGAAAGTGGCAGTTGTCCTCTCTCAGTACGATAGATGCTGCCCGAGGTGCGTCATTGACCAGAGCCAGCTTCCCGAAGTCATCTCCCTCATGCAACGTGCAAACTACACCCTGAAACGAGACATGGCATCTAAACAGCCTGCTGTCATCTGCCAGACAAACCAGCAAAGAGCACAGACAGTTATGAAAACACATTCCAGCTGTAATACAATTTGTACACACACACACACTTTCCTGGCACAGTCTGCATGTACTAGAATTGGCTTGTGAGTGATTAGCTGGTCTGCATGATCACACATGAAACGCTTAATTAGTCTGTTGAATGTGGAGCATTAGTAGGGAATTACTAGTCTGACCTTTCCATAGATCACCACGTTAACGGAGCCCTTCAGGATGATGTACCATGATGTGCCCTCCTCCCCTTGATTAAACACTAGGAACAAAATAGATCAATAATGAACATCAAACTCTGTGCAGAATTATTGTTTGCTAAAACTAAAACTTAAAACATAAAGTCAATGCACAACAAAATGACTAAAACTATCAAATTAAAGTTAAAACAAAAAATATAAAATAAAAGCTCTCAAAATATTAACAAAAACCATAGAAGTATAAATTATACTAAAATACCAATGGTAGATTCAAGTTGTTATTGTTAACTAAAACTAATACATTTAAAATCACTTTTGGTAAATAAATAAAATAAAATTACAAATGCTGTTTTGGCAACTACATGGAATAAAATAGGTTGAAGTACTGAAAATAACTTAAATTAAAACTAAAACTGAAATAAAATAAAATAAATTAAAGCTAAATAAAACTATTTAAACAAATAAAAATCACATTTTAAAATTACTAAAACTTAAACTAATATTAAAATAAAGACTGAAAATCTAAAAATAAAAGCTAAATATCAATATATACTATAATAGTTATAAATCATACTACTAACACTGGTACAATTTAGATTTGTCTATGAATTAATTTTAAACATTTCAGCATAACTGGTAGTGTATGCATCTGTGTACCATGGCATTACATTATGCATCTGTTATATATCTTAAATAAAACTACTTAATTTAGATCTAACAACATCCAAATTAAGCACATTTTATTTAATTTTATTTTATTTTACAGTCCACAATATTATTTAGAATTACTGAATGAACTTAAAAATTGCACCAACAAAACAAAATTTATAGGGCAACAATTGCAGCGTAGCACTTTTTGCAGTTTAGGGTATCTGACAAAGCACTTTTCTAAGTGTAGGGCATTTGTTTTGTTGTGAATAATGACCCCTGACCCTGAGGATTCTGTTGAAGTCTTCTTTATCCACTCTCAGTAAGTGGCAGTTGTCCTCTCTCAGTACGATAGATGCTGCCCGAGGTGCGTCATTGACCAGAGCCAGCTTCCCGAAGTCA